TGTCACACAGATGAGCTCCTTCATCCCTCTTAACAGCTGTACCACTCTGCAGCAATAAATTCATTGTAGAACCAGGAAACAGGCACAGAGAGCTTACACAATGTGGGACGATTATAAAGCTAGTGGGTGGTGAGGCTGTGATGCAGATGTGTGCTCTTGACTCTGGGGATGGTAGCCTGTCCCTTTCTTTCTTTAGCCTTTCAACTTTTCTGTCAGCCTTCAGTGCTCTGGTATCAGTGATTTTTACTAATCTATTCTTGGAGACTACTGGATTAAAACTTTTCTTTACACTTTACACTATATGACCCTGCATCAGAAAGCAAGTTGCTCTACATGTATTATTGGTAATATGTGAGCATAATTTTCTTTACTAGTATTATAGCCTTGCTGAATGCTTTGGATTTTATAATTGCATTATGGTTTATACATTAAAGGATTAAAAATATGAAATCTATGGCTTATTCTTAATGGCCTCAGAATTGGTATGAGCAAACTCTTGAGTTCATATGTTAGATGAAGAAATGACCGTAGGTGAAGTTGGAGATTATTTTCATATTTCTGCATCCTTTTTAGGTCCTTAATGTTGCATAGAGAGCCCAGATGCTTAAATGTAATGGTGTATATATTGATATTAACCTGTTGTTATTAAAGTAATCTCATGCATTAAGTGACATGATCATTCCTATTTTAGAAGAGGCTACTAGGGCAGAGAGATCCCAAGGACTCTGCCTATTGCCACATAGCCAGTGAGAGCAGGGGTCAGGACTTGAACCTATCCTGTATTCATGTTTTTGCCTTAAAATGCCCTATGTGTGAGTTGCACTGAACTGTCTAGAACTTGATCTTCTGTAATCATTTGTTACCTGATAAAAGCTATTTCACATGATCCACCTAGGGGCAAGAATTATTTTTTATAAAAAACAGGAAGTGGCCTTAGTGGGGACTTAGTCCATCCCTTGACTACTGCCTCCATGGACGTTTTTGTAAGTGCTAGTTGATTAGCGATTAAGAACAGCAAAGCTTTGATTACGTCAGCTCTGCCCTCTCATCTGTGTTACATTTTTGTTGCGCTCTGTATCAACGTGGATTTTAAGAGACCCAATGAGTAGACATAAGTAGTTAGGAAAGATGCAACCTGCAGTTAGGAAAGATGCAACCTATTTATGATGAGCATGACCTAATCAACCTTGGCTTTGTAGAAGACTCTTTCAACTAATGAAGACATTCGTGAAAATCACAGCGCTTCTAAAGTGACCACTCAGTTTAGAAACTCAGAGATACAGAATGATTTGGGCTTCCCACCAGCACAGGGTGATCTTGGCTAGAACCTATGTGGTACTCAAAACACCAGCCTCTCAGATCTTTATTTGAGCAGTAAACACATTTTTAAATACACACCATGCTGTCTCTAAAAATAAGCGATATTTCAAAAAGAAAACCAGTGCCCAAGTAGTTGGCACATCTGGTAGTCAGAAAAGCTGTATGGTTTGTTTTTACAGAACAACAAGCCAGGGAACATTCAAACTTGGCCAGTTGCAAACTTCTATCTGTGATGACACCTGGCTTAAAAAAAAAATTGGCTCTAGGCTCAAAACAGAAAGAACATTGGAAATGGGCAGAGAATTAAACAGCAGCATTTACTATCTTGTTTTGAGCAAGGAATTGTGAAGAACTTTTCTTCTGTAATAGACTGGAACAGAGAACCAAGGGCAGGCATGAAACAGTACCATGCGTGACAATCGCTGCTGACATCCATAGTACCTACTGTGGTGCTGAGTCCTTTGTATGTGCTGTTGCTACTGGATGCAAAGCCACCTTGTGAGGCAGCATCGATTTCTTTTCTTGTTTGGTAGATGGTAAGATAGAAATACTGACTCTAAATATTCAGTAATTTGCCTTGGTCCCACAAAGAGCCTGATCACCAGGCAAAGCTGCTCCCAGAGTCCACACTCTTACACTGAGTAGCTTAGAGCTGATCCTTTCTGAAAAAGAGTTAGACTTTTAATGCTTTGTTAGTAGTGGTTCTTGCTACAGCTCTTGTTTACTTCCCCTTGTGAGATAGATGGTGCCATTTTCTAGAACATTCTCAGTGCTGCATACAAAAACTGCATGTTTCTGAGAACTTCACTGTTGACACAAGCTGTCACTCTTTTGTGGCTAGAGGATGTTTAAGTTGGTCCATGTGTTTGGAGTAGGGGGAGGAACGGTGCACAGTGATGGTTACTGGGCAGAGAAGGACTGAGGTGTCTTCATTACGGGAAGTCTAGGCTACAGGGTTCTAGGGGAAAGCCTTGGTCAGTGCCACACTCTGGACCAGGAGAACAGATATACAGTTACTACTCTCACCAGTTTCGTCTTCCATTCAGCTTGGTCAGCTACACTGTGGAGAAGCATCAATGGACTGACTGCATTTGGATTTTTTAATAATGGTCCTGTTTCATAAAAGAGGGCTTCCATGAAAATAGTTGGGTAACATTTTAATAGTCATTGTAGTCATTTTTAATTTCCATGCATTCATTCACAGCTTTATAATAGGTTGGGTTGTTAGGAAGCAGATAAATGTTTAAGAAGGACTTCGTCTTTTTTTTTTTTTTTTAAAGATTTGAAGCATAAAAATGAGAGATAGTGGGAATGTAATATAATAGGTTCATTCCCTGACATTTGAAAGGACAGATCACTCAGATCTGCCCACGTGAAAGTGAGAATAGAAGGCAGGTCCTTACCTTTGGGTTGAAACCTTGAAGATGTGGTCTCTAGATACATAAGTTACAGACAAAATTGTGAATGAAGGTTTGAGTCAAAGTTGCAGTTATCACATTTGGCAGTTGCTAATTCGAAGTATACATGTTTTCATTGCATTTCTGAAGTACGGTATCATACACAGATTTAATTGGCTTTTCAAGTTTTTACTGCATACACACACACACACACACACACACACACACACACACACTTGTTTAATATTATAACCAACATAATAATTGGTTGTTCATTCTTTTAATACATATGTGTATACACACAGGATTTTAGATTTGACAAATAGGTATATGATTTGTTATTGAGTTATATTTCTTGTGTGTACTGATAGAGTGACTAATGTATTTGTTTTTGAGGCAGATAGATATTAATAGCTTTATTAAGAAAAAAAGACAAAGTGACAATTCATTCTATCAGAGTATATTGCATTCTCTTTGAATGCTTGACATCTGATGTAGCTTTTACTAGAAACTTATGGTAGCAGTGGTGAAAGCTGAGGAGATAACTCAGGTTATCATAGCCTAGGTTAGTCTGTGCACCACTGCATTGCCTTTTTTAAGGTAAAGAAAGAGCATATGCAAATATACAGGATTAATAACTTTCAGAGAGCCTCATTTTATGAGTATCATATAAAAAACACACCCACCACTCATGATATGAAGGCAAAACCCTGATGGTTCAATGCCATTTTTGTCAGAAATATGGAATATCTCCAACTGGTCTTGGAAGACACAAGAAAATGGATCAGAAATCTGCAGCAGGAGGGAGAGATGAACCTGTACATCTGAAAAAAAATGTGAGAAATTTCTTTAGGAGCCAGTGATCTTGGAAAATGTTCAAGAGAGGGCCCAGAGCCCAAACTAAAGCATGTGGGTGCCCTGGAAATCCATGGAGGGATTGTGTTTTCATAGATGGTAATTCCCTGTGTGGCCACAGGCAGGCCACGAGCACCTGGGTTTGAGCTCCACGGCATTGATGGGGCGCTCTTGTCACCTTACATAGCTGTGACCCCACCAGCATCATTGAGGTGTAGCTTCATTTATGAGGATATGACAATAGCTTCCAGGTCTGTTTTGTCTCAAGGGGCTATTAGTAGAAAATGTAACTAGAATTGATGCCAAATCAAAGAGCTGTTTGGTTTAATTGGGGGAAAACAAAATATGACATTTTGCTTTCTAGAGCTAAAGAAAGTTACAGTGACAAATTCTACACACCAGTCCCAAGTAGAGTGATGACAAAGTCAGAGAATCTAGTGAGAAATTTATTTTTATTTGTTAGAATTGGGAATAGAGTATAAGGCACTGGGGCTCAAACAGGTAGTTGTCAGACATGTTTGAGAAAGCACATCCATGCAAAGGGAATGTCTAGAATGACTCAGCTTTTACTGTTATTTTAAACAATGATTCATGGCAATGTCAGCCATTTCTTCTCCACTTTCACTTCTCTTTAATGACACAAATTCTTGTGGGTTTCTATGCCTTTATTTCTTTCTCCTTTGGGTATGTACCACACTTTTATTTTTACATTGGAATTTTATAAGTAATGGAAACAAAAAATATGTTGTTAAATGAATTTAACCTTCCCAAGTGAATGTTTTATGGATTTCCCATCTTGAATTGAAAAAAAAAATTGTTGTTTGTCCAATGGCAACTTACTGGGATGAAAAGGGAAAACCTAAGGTTAAAGGGATATGTCTTGATTATAAGTACAGATTTGCAATCGAATTGGCTAAACATTTTTATTCCTTCTCCAGCAGTATTGACTTTACTTGCTGTGTGATTCAAAATATTAGCTACTCTAGGAAGGAGTTGATTTGATAAAGATGATTCCATCTACTAGACACACCTTCACCCTTCTGTTAAGGATATAAATTATGACTTTCAGCATAGTTTTCAGGAGGTGATTCTCGATTCTACACTGTGGTGTTGAGTGGCGATTATGAAAAGCCTTATAGCGTTACAGCTTTTGCCTTGGAATCATGTGCTTTATGGTGTAATCAATATTAAAGAGATATTCTTGTAACACCAGCACTTGGGAAGTGGGAGGCAGGAAGAACAGGGACTCAAGGCTATCTTTGACTACACAGTAAGTTGGAGGGCAGCCTAGGCAACATGAAAAAATTTACTGAACTGAGAAGGTCCAAGGACTTTCTAGATATGAGCCCCGATGTAAATGTGCACCTGTGTATGAATTGATTGCTGATGTAAGGGACGTGAAAGCTAACCTGATTCATTTGTTTTTAGGGGCTCTTGGCTTTGGGCCTCAGTGCAAGTCCATTGGAAAAGGCAGCTGCAACAATCTAGTGGTCACCAGCAGTCCCATGATGGTTCAGCGACTGGGACCCATTTCACCTCCAGCAAGCCAGGTCTCCACAGCATGCAAGCAGATCAGTCCTAGCTTACCGAGGGCAGTGAATGCAGCCAACCTGAATAGACCTCCTTCAGATTCCAGGTCTCAACTTACGTTTTTTTTACCTCCCCCCCCTTTCCTTATGGTATACTCATACCCCATGAGTGTTGTCCCCGCTTTTCCTGAACATGAATGTACTTGCTCACACACACACTGACTCACACACTCACTGTTCATGTTCACTCACTCTGCTGAAGCAGCTCTTCCAGTTTCAGCTTTGTAGGAGAATGTGTCTGAAAAGTGAGTACCATTCTTTTTTTTTTTTTTTTTTTTTTTTTTTGGTTTTTCCAGGCAGGGTTT